CTGACAGGGGCAAGGGAGAGCCAGAATAGTGCAGAGCCCAGGGTGGGGGGCACGGACACGGTGTGGTTGGACAAGGAGAGAAATCTTTACAGCTCAAAAGCTCTTACCAAAACATAGCCTTGTGCTTTTCACTTCACACTGCCTGAAGTTCTATCTGCTATTCCTTTCGCATTAGTAAGAATCGAGAGGGGGAGGTATTCATTGTCTCGCTCACTAGAAACTGAATTTTGATGTTTTTAGGAGATTGCTTCCTTCCTAACCCTCAGGGCTGAGATCATTTCACAGAGGCAACAGCTTTTCTTTTAAATGTTATATGAAAAGGAAGTGAGGGAGGTAATTTCGGAGTTCTGGCTGCTTGGGCAGAACCACTGGGAGACGGAGATGTTTCAGAGGGCAGCGTGGGGGCACTGCATGGGGACCAAGAAGACGGATTCTATGAGACTGGGAGAAGGATGCAGAGGGGGTGGGGAGCCACCCGTGACAATTCACGTCTTCTTAAAGGTAGGACCCTTGGGGCCGACGCCGTGGCTCACTTGGTTAATCCTCTGCCTGTGGCACCGGCATCTCATATGGGTGCCGGGTTCTAGTCCCGGTTGCTCCTCTTCCAGTCCAGCTCTCTGTTGTGGCCCGGAAGGGCAGTGGAGGATGGCCCAAGTGCTTGGGCCCTGCACCCGCATGGGAGACAGGAGGAAGCATCCGGCTCTTGACTTCAGATCGGAGCAGCTCCGGCAGTAGCAGCCATTTGGGGAGTGAACCAACGGAAGGGGGACCTTTCTCTGTCTCACTCACTGCCTAACTCTACCTAAAAAAAAAAAAAAATTGGACCCTGATATTTTTCCTTCTTCCCAGAGGCAAAATGGAAAGTAACTTCTCTCCTTACAAAACTGAGAGACAGGATAGAAAAAACTATTAAAATAATACTAATTCTAATAATAAGTCCTTACCATTCAAATTAAATACTTAATCCTCCTAACAACCCTATGAGGAAGACACTATTGTCTCCATTCTACAGGCGAGGCGGGTGTGCTGTGAGCCTGGCTTTCGGTCTGCAGGTCCGAGAGGCAGGAGCATGAAGCAACGTCTCCGGCTGGAAGCCCACCCCCTCCCGCCCAGGCTGTCTGGCTTGGGGAGAATGTGGGTCCGTCTGGCATATAGGAAAGGGGGACATTATCTGACATCGCCTGGGAGAGGACATGACTATCCCCCACAGCTTTTTTCAAAATCCAGACCTAGATTCTGAAGTTGGGAGGAAGCTGGTACATACAGGAGCAGTCACTGTGTCGCCACTGAAGTCTGGACCTCACCGAGTGGCCGGGAGTAGGTCACTTCTTCCCTCTGGGCAGCACTTTCCTCAAATATAAAATGAAAACATCCGACGAGAGTTAAATCTCTGTGGTCCCTTCCAGCTCAGAAGCTGAACAATTCTAGAACCTGGCGGTTGGGTGTGACAAATTATGATCTCTCTCTCCCACTGCATATGCTCTAGAGCGTGGTATTTTGGGTCTAAATATGCCCATGTCTGCTGTCTGTATGGATGTGTATTCCAGCTATATGACTAAAACTTTAGTTGTTTATGGGTAAATAAGGGATGCTTCTTGGTTTTCTTCCGGAGAGACCAAATGGCTCTGGGAGACGGTGAGCTACAAGATCACTAACTCAAGTTTCGGCGGGAGTGCAGGCTATTTGAGAAAAGGGTGCAGTCCTTTATCACTCTTTGGCATGGTTATTTTCTGCTTTTACCATTAGTTTTACAAATCTGATGGGCCTTTGACAGCAACTCCATGAAACGGCATGGGTTTTTACAAAAGAGAGAGACTCAGAGGTGAGGGGACTTGCCTGAGGTCACACAGCTTGTTAGAGCCGGAGGCAGCACCAAGATCCAGGGCTTCCGCCTCCTGGCTTGTGTGTTCTTCCTAGGACTGTGCTGGGTTGGGAAGAGACCCCCCGGCTTAGAAGACAAGTCTTACAGGGGCTGTGGCTTCTAGGAGGAGGCCCGTGGAGAGCCAGCCTCTGAACAAAGGCCCCCGGCTCCCCCGCCTGCCCTGTTCCCATCTTTGCAGCTTCCTGGCCACAGTGTCCTTTCGTTCAGAGTGCAGCCTCACACGACGCACAGATAACAGCTATTTCAAGAGCCTTGAGCTGTGATTAATTAGAATGTCAGAGGGCAATGATAAGGACTAATGGCACTGTGGAACCTCTGGCAAGATGTAAAAGATGTTTCCTCACTCCTCTCTGCGCCAAATGTGTCCTCTTTCTCAGGGCTCACGTCCACATAACGGGGATGTGAGGCCATCACCTGCCAGGGCTATGAGCATCCGGGAGATAATCAAGGAGAGTGCCTCTGAGGAGCCACACGTCTGTCTGCCCAGCATTCAACCAACCCACATTCGCTGCGCGCCCACAATACTCCAGGAACTGTTAGGAACTAAGACAAACAAGAAACAAAAAGCTTGGAATCTTACTGCTATCTCCCTCCTTACCTTATTTCTGCCTCTCTCTCTCTCTCTAAAATTTATATTTACTTATTTGAAAAGAAGAGTGACAGAAAGAGAGGGAGAGAGAGAGAGAGAGAGAGAACCATCTGCTGGTTCACTTCCCAGATGCCCTCAATAGCCAGGGCTGGTGCAGGCCAAAGCCAGGAGCCAGGAGCCAGGAACCTCAGCCTGGTCTCTGACATGGGTGGCAGGGGCCCAAACATTTGGACCATCCTCTGCTGTCTTCTCAGGTACGTCAGCAAGGGGCTGGATTGGAAAAACAGCATCTGGGATTCAAACTGGCACTGTGTTATGGCATGCAGGTGGCTTAACCTGCTGCACCACAAGGCCAGCCCTGTGTCATTGTCTCTTCTCATCTAGGATCATAAGAGGAAGATGGGCCTGGTTGTCCTGTCCAGTTCCCCAGCTGAGTGCTTCTGTTTGACAGGCAGAGTGGACAGTGAGAGAGAGAGACAGAGAGAAAGGTTTTCCTTTTGCCATTAGTTCACCCTCCAAGGGCCGCCACAGCTGGCGCGCTGCGGCTGGTGCACCGCACTGATCCAATGGCAGGAGCCAGGTGCTTCTCCTGGTTTCCCATGGCGTGCAGTGCATCCTCCACTGCACTCCCGGGCACAGCAGAGAGCTGGCCTGGAAGAGGAGCAACCGGGAGAGAATCCGGCGCCCCGACCGGGACTAGAATCTGGTGTGCCGGCTCCGCAAGCGGAGGATAAGCCTATTGAGCCGTGAGGCTGGCCCCAGGACATTCTTAATATGGGCCGACCAGCAGGCTGCCATTAGAGTGGCAGAGGGCTCCTTGGACTGTAGCTCATTTAAGAGTTCATTGAGCCAAGCACAGTTCTAGGTGCTGGGGATCCAACAGGTGACAAACAAGTTCTCTGCCCTCGTGGAACTGTCAACTAGGGAAGGCAGACCTTACACAAACCAACACACAAGTATTCAGAAAGCAAGGCGAGGGTGCGGTGAGGTGGGACAGGGAGGAGGAGCCAGTTCCGAGGCCTCTCTACAGAGCCAGGATGAGAATTCACTCACAAGAAACGAGCCCCAGGAGGAGCCCTGCAGGCGGAGACCTCAAAGGCTCTTGAAGTAAGAAGGAACACGGTGTCTTCCAAGAAGTACCAGGCAGTAATGGGGCAGAGCCCAAGACGAGCAGGACAGGGTTCACGACCAGGTCGCAGAGGCGGGGCAGGATCGCACTGGGCCTTGAGGACTGGGACAAGCACTCGATGATGTAAGGCCAGGCACTTCCAATGGCTTCTGCCCTCTTCCCATTGCAACTGGAGAAACGAGCTGGCTTGTTCTGACAGTTCTGCCATCCCATGATCATGACTGGGAGGTTGGAGGTTCATTAGGGAAACTTGGCATAAAACCAACCATCAAAGATAGCATCAGCTTCAGTGCTTTCTCCTTGAGCATGGGACGTCTAAAGTCATCTGACCCAGAATGTATGGGCTGGGGTGAACGGTGGCCCAGGGTTTCATCCTTACCCCATGCACCAATCATGGATCTACAGACAACATTCATTCACTCAGTGGTCACTGTGCTTACTGCATAACTGTTTGCTAGACGGCTCCCAGCTTGGGGCAGAGGATCGACTGAACACTCGGAATCTAAAAGGGGAGGGCAGTGCACTAAGATCATTGTAACTAAGGGAAGAGATGATAAATCCACAAGAGAGGTAGCAGATGTTACTGAAGTAATAAAGCTCTTTCAGTGACATATGAGAGGAGTGTGTCCTCTGGGAAGAAAACCAACACCACAACCTGGTACATCCTGAGTGATGCAAACACTGCCTCCCTGGGGAGGCCCGGTAGAGACAGGTACCCCCAAGATCTGCAGGTAAGGCTGCAACTGGTACTTCTGGTACCCTTCTGGGAAGAGAGTCAGCAACATGGATTCATTTAGACACAATCATTCCACTTGTAGGAATCTACCCTTGGGGTGTGCGAGGGAGGAGAGAATCAGAAAGGATTTATGTGTAGGAATTGTCACTTGAAGGTTATTACACTATCAAATAGAAACAACTTAAATATCTAACCTAGACTCTATACTTAATTACATCCTGGTACATCTTCATGATGCGACAGTATTTCAGGGAAGTGTTCCAGGCCCAGATTTTTGGAAAGACTCAAGCTACCATATCATAGGCGTATGCAAACTAACGATGCTTTGACAGACAAGGGGCTGTCCAGTGAGGGGCGGGGTGAAGTGGGGGGGTGGGGTGAAGGAAGGGGCCCAAGCACACTGACATTTGAGGCAGGTCTTCAAGGAGTCTCCAGGTGGCAAGGCAAGGCCGCCTGAGTGGAGACCCCCAAGTTCTGAATGAGCCGCGTTAGATAACACACCTGTGGAGAAGGCTTGCGGCAGCCGCTCCTCCCATCCACGCTGCTCGGCAGTCTCTCTGTAAGTGAGCCGAGGAGCCACGACAGCACTCAGGAGGGGCGATGCCCTCCTCGTGGACCAGAAAGACGCTGCGGGAGTCGGCGTCCATCCCTGCAGTGGGAGCAACGCTCGCCGGTCCTGGGCCGCGGACACCACAGATCCCCTGCGAAATAAGTCCCGGGGCCAACGTAGCCTCCCCGCATACGGTGCTTCCGCTTCCGGTGGCACCAAAAACGGCCCACAGTGGCGGCGCAGCGCGCAAGCGCAATGGGCCGCAGCGGACTGTGAAATTTCACACCCGAGAGGGTGAAGCGTCTATGAAGCCAATGTGGCTTCGGAGAGCGACGACGACTACGAGGTAAGGGGCCGGGCCCACGTGGGCCCATGTGCACTCAGCGCACCCCCTCCCAGCTTGTCGCCTTGGCTCGCCTCTGGGCACCCCGCTCTGGGGCCTTGTCCCTGCCTCCCCGGCAGCCCCCCACGCCCAACCCCTGTCTGCTGCCTCTCTGGGGGTGGTTTGAGAGCTTGGGGGCTGGGGCGGGGGGCCGAGAACAAGTCCCTGGCCTCGCTGGCTTCTCGGCCGCACACGGTTTGGTCGGGATTGTTTCTCCCTTGGGAGTTGTGGCTTGTCGCTGTGCCTCACCCAGCCTGTTCCGGGGCTGGGGCCACCGTCGTCTTTCAAACCCGGCAGTGAGCTTAGACAGCCCTGTGCTGGTTACTGGAGGTGACAGAAGCTCCGGAGACAGCCCAGCTGCCCCAGTGCCTTGGGCCCCTCTCGGCCAGGCCTGTCTGCGGGGCTGGGTAGCTGGAGGATGCTGGGAAGTGTGAGGGCACACCGGGAGCTGCGTGCTCTTCTGCTCGGTTGCATTTTCCTGCTGCTCTTGCCTGTTGCTGTCAGTGAGTTTCCTGTCTGCAGCAGTTCTCCCTGTGCCCTGCCCTGTGCGACTTCTCACGGGTGCTCCCTGTCCTCTGGCCCAGGACATGGCTCATGTGGACGAGGCAGCCCGCCGGCTGTCCAAGAGGGGGTCGACCCTCTACACAGTGCTGGAGCTGAAGAAGGGCGCCCCCCCGGAAGAAGTCAAAAAGGCCTACAGGTTCCCACCCCGCCTTCCCTGAGCCCTGGCAAGCCCTCCCTGAAACACTTCTCTTTATGGCTGGCTTTCTGACCCACTTTGAAATCCCAGCAAGCCTGCACTTTGGGGCCAGATGGGGCCATCACCCTCTTCCATGTGGCTCTGGAAGGAGTTTCGAGCTTGGCCTCTTGGACCACATTCTGTCTAGAGACATATCCCTGCCCTTCATCCTAGCCCTCCCGCCATGGCTGGCCCCATCCCCTCCCCCACCCCACCCTTTGTGGGGTTCTGCCTGTGTAGGAGACTGGCCTTGCAGTATCATCCCGACAAGAACCCAGGGAACCCTCAAGCTGCAGAAATATTCAAAGAGATCAACACCGCCCACTCCGTGCTGAGTGACCCCAAGAAGCGGAAGATCTATGACCAGCACGGCTCCTTTGGAATCTATCTGTACGATCACTTTGGGGAAGAAGGTGTCCGATACTACTATACAGTGAATAGTTGTTGGTTCAAGGTACGGGTTCCCCCGAGGCCCTTAAGACGGAGGAAGGAGAGGTAACGGCCCATCCTGGGACAAGCACTTCTTGTGTCCTGTTTCCTGGGTGCTGGCGGGGCTGCGGGTGGGGGGCTTGCCCGGGGTGGGGGTGGGGGGGCGAGCAGCGGGACCGAGGCTGTTCCTGCCGGGCTTGCAGACACTCATCATCCTCTGCGCGCTGCTCACTTGTTGTTGCTGCTGCTGCTGCTGCTGCTTTTGCTGCGGCGCCCTTAAGCCGCCCCCCGAGGACGTCAATAGGAGAAGACAGCAGCCGAACGTCCAGACGCAGCCCCCGCGGCCAGGTGAGACCCGCGGCAGGAGCCTGGGTACAGCATCAGAAAGGAGGAGATGGTTGCGGGCAAGGAGGAGCTGGGAAAACAGCAGGTCGACCCCTACAAGTGGTCGCTTCGAGCTGGCCGTGGGAGAAGGGGAAGAACGAGACGGCGGAGGGATGAGAGGTTTCTGAGCATCCTACACGGCAAACTGAGCTTGCGTGTCGGGTGGGCTGCGCTCACTGTTAAACTGAGGAATGAGGCGGGAGGTTATGCCTGGAAAATGCGGTACTCGCTATGGTTAGTGCTGCATTGAGCCTGTGATTATGAAGTAAATTGATGTGGTGTTATTGCAGAAATTAAAGGAAAAGAAAGGAAGGAAAGAGGGGAATTGAGGGAGGGGGAAGTATGCTTGTCTTAGAATTGCATCTATGAAATACAAGCAATCTGTTCTCTTAATATTGCTAAAAAATTTTAAAAAGAAAACTAGGCCGGTGCTGCGGCTCAATAGGCTAATCCTCCACCTGCGGCACCAGCACCCTGGGTTCTAGTCCGGTTGGGGTGCCAGATTCTGTCCCGGTTGCTCCTCTTCCAGGCCAGCTCTCTGCTGTGGCCCAGGAGCGCAGTGGAGGTTGGCCCAGGTCCTTGGTCCCTGCACCCGCATGGGAGACCAGAAGCACCTGGCTCCTGGCTTCGGATCAGCGCGGTGCGCCGGCTGCAGCAGCCATCTGGGGGGTGAACCAACGGAAAGGAAGACCTTTCTCTGTCTCTCTCTCCCTCACTGTCTAAATCTATCTGTCAAAAAATAATAAATAAATAAAGTAATAAAATACAGTAATCAAAGATGGGCTCAAGGATGCAGTTTATGGCATCTACTCAAAAGGAGGATGATGTGTCAAAGATTATTCCCACCCTACATAAACTTTAAAATTGAAGTGTAGCTGAAGTCCACACTGGTGCCACCTTGTGGTGCTAATGAGTAGCTGTGAGGTAACCATTTTCTCACTAGTAGACTGAAAAAGTGTTACTAAATGTTCATATATGTAATGAATGGGTAATTCCATTTTAGGAACCAGAGGTGGTTTTAGAAGAGATGAAGATAGTGAAGATTTTTAATAAAAGATGAAGAGGGGTATGTAAACTGAAGGCGGTATTCAAAGGATCGGAAAAGCATATAAGCTAACTTCACAGGAGTCATAGCTGGGAAGTTTATATACTTGTGAACCCCAAGTATTTATATCCTTACAGACATAGGGTTTTCTTTACATTCTACATGATCATTCCTTCTAGTCAGTAAGATGCCACCTTCTTCTGCCACTAGGTGCTGACCCAGTGTGGGTGCCCTCTGATGCCCAGTCCACTGGACACGTTGAAAGGAGGAGCAAGTAGCCCTGTCCTGACATGAACCCTGAACTGACTCCTCTTCTATAGGAACCCCTACTTGAGAAGCATTGATGACGTCCATCCCAGTAAGGACCCCGTCTCTGCCCTCGATGGTATGACTCTGGCCGTATGGTGCCACCAAGCTACTCTTCTGTTTAGCCACAGTCTCAGTTGTTGTCTCTCTCAGAGAGCAGCCCTCCCATGCCCACCTTTGAGGCCTCGGGCAGCAGTGGCAGACTTTCCCTGAGGATTGTCTCTCCTGGGTCTACCTTGGGGTCTGAGCCACTTGCATTTCTCCATCAAGATTTGATGACCGAGCAGGGTGGGCCCTGTCCCCAGAGCTGCTGCACCAGTTAACCTTCCTTTGTTGCCACTGTGGACCAAGAACTCCTACCATCAGCCTCCTTCCTAAGCCAAGACACCTTTCTGGGGCTGGTCTTCCTCCTCTGGTGGCCAGCTCAGCCCTGCCACCTCGAGTCAGCCCAGGAGAAGTGAGTGCTTATGCGGCTTGGGGCAGTTATCCCACCTGTGGACTGTCCCTGGACCCCAGCTGCCGGCACAGCCCCCGCCAGCCTGGCCCCCGGGGTTGGCCAAAGTTCTTGCTTCAGCATCTGCTCGCCCCCACCCTCTGGACTCGCCTTGTGCAGGCCGGTCGCCCTGCATTTTGTCCTTAAAACAGGACGGGAAACGTGACGAGGCGAAGGCTGTGCCTTGCAGACTCTTTCCCCGCTCTTCCTTCTTCGTCCTGCCTCTCCACACCACCCGTTCTCCGCCCACTCAGGGTCAGAGCCTAGGAACTCCTCTAACTTCACCCTTGTCTGGGAGAAAGGTGAAGGAATGTTAGTAAATAAAAGAACTTTTGACAATCCCAGTGCGTGTGTTGGGCCCAAAGAAGACAGATGGTGCCAGCGACAGAGGAAGAAGGCCGTAGGAGAAAAAGCGAGAAAGCCACGTGCGGCGAGCCTGGTTCGCAGGGCAGGAGTCTGGGACACGTGTCGGGCCGGGCAGACGCTGCCCATGCTCTGCGGCTGTGGCTTTCTCGGTGCTCTGAAGTTTCCCTGGAGACTGACTGCCTGGTGCTCAAAATAGGTCTCTGGCTCTCAGGTCCTTTCCGCCTGCCCAGCATCTCCCAGTTTCCTAACAAACTGAAATTCCGTGGAGTGGCCCCAGCAGTGGGTGGGCGGGCCAGAATCCCACTCTCTCAGGACTGCAGCAGCCACTTGCAGCCTCCTGAGCTTCTTTCCCTAGAGTGAAGAAATGGCTGGGCAAGCACAAAACTGGGCCAGACGTGTTGGACGAGAGGCTGTCTCCCTAGTGTCCGGTGCCCTGTTCTGAACCACTTGGTCTTGGGGAGCAGGAGACTGTCATTGACCCTCTCCGAAGGTCTGGCCAGATCTCTCCTCCCACCCTGAGCCATGAACCATGCTGCCCCTCATACAGGCCGCTTTAGTCTGTGTCACTGTTCTGGACCCCAAGCCAGAGCATGGGGCCAGGGGCTCCCAGGAGCCTCTGGATGACTGCTGGCCCACCTTTCACCGTCAGGAGTGACGCTCACCCTGCCCTTGCTAGAGGGAGCCGCCCATCCCTGTGTGAGTCAGGGTCACTCACTGGGTGACAGCTGGGGCTCGCCTTACACGAGCTAAATCGGGAGCTGGAATGTCATGCAGATGCCCCTCTCTCCCCACCCCCACAGTAAAATTAATCTCCTCTCTGGGGAGTAAGGGACAGACAGTGCTGCCCACAGAGTGGACAGGAGAGAGTCGTTTGGGGGACAAAAGAGAATTTAGAGAAGGGGAGAGAGAGGCCGGGCAGGGTGCAGAGCGAAGAGCAGAGAGACCGAGAAGTGTCTGGAACCCGCGCCCTACGGACGAGGCAAGTTGTGAGAGGAAGGGACAGGAGCTGTAGCAGAGCTATTTCCAGAGCGAGCAGCCGAAGGGAACAGAGCGTCTACAGACTGCTTAAGGGGCGCGAGGAAGGGTCCCGAGGCAGCGGGAGAAGGCCAGGACCAGGGCCGCGGCCAGGGCAGGCACGATCGCTGAAGGGATGAACTTCACGGTGGGTTTCAAGCCTCTGCTAGGGGATGCGCACAGCATGGACAACCTCGAGAAGCAGCTCATCTGCCCCATCTGCCTGGAGATGTTCTCCAAGCCGGTGGTGATCCTGCCCTGCCAACACAACCTGTGCCGCAAGTGCGCCAACGACGTCTTCCAGGTGGGCTTGGCGTGGAGACCCGGAAGGGGGTGGGCGGGGGGCTCCGGGAGGCGGGCAGTAGATGTTGTGGCTGAAGAGGGGAGGAGCCGGGCTCCTTCCTGTGGATCCCAAGGTAAGCATGAGTCAGCAGCCGCCCAGCAGGCTGGCGGGTACAGCCTGTACTGGGGCAGCAGCCGGGAGGCCGGCTCCTACCCCCGGGGGCTCCGTGAGAGCCTGCGCTCGACTCTGCATTTCAGTCTGGGGCTTCGGACTTTGAGAACAGTGTGGAAAACCGGGAGAAGGAAAGGGTCAATGAGAGAAGGAAACAGTAACCCCCATGAGAAAGCACCGTCCTGACACAGAGTGGTTTGTTCTGAAGGCGAAGCCCAGTGAAATGAGACATGGCAGGTAGGAGACTAGGAACCGTCCCATCCCCAGCGTCGGTTCATGCCTGTGGCCCTCCGGACTGCTCAGCACGGAGGCCTCCCCTGGCTCGCACAGAGAGAAGGCAGAGAGGTTGTGTTCCCCAGCGTACACCCCAGCGTACAGCCAGGTTTTATTTACCGTGGTGGTGGAGCAAAGCATAGTGAAGCAAACTCACAGAAGCCATTTTAGTCACAGGCTTCAAAAATACAAGGAGCACGTGCCAGGCTGGTCTATAAAGGGGCTTTCTTTTCTCCTTTTTTTTTTTTTTTTTAAGATTTATTTGTTTATTTCAAAGGCAGAGTTACAGAGAGGCAGAGAGAGAGAGAGAGAGAGAGAGAGAGAGAGGTCTTCCATCTGCTGGTTCACTCCCCAAATGGCCACAATGCCTAGAGCTGGGCTGATCCAAAGCTAGAAGCCAGAAGCCAGGAGCCAGGAGCTTCTTCTGGATCTCCCACACTGATGCAGGGGTCCAAGGACTTGGGCCATCTTCTACTGCTTTCCCAGGCCATAGCAGAGCTGGATCGGAAGTGGAGCAGCCGGGACTAGAACCAGTGCCCATAGGGGATGCTGGCACTGCAGGCAGCAGCTTTACCCACTATGCCACAGCACTGGCCCTTATAAAGATGCTTTCTTGACCTATGCTGTTGGAGAAGGTTCTAGTAGGCTATTGGAACAGATCTCAGGGAACATAAGGGGGAAAACACCCAGAAATCTGCCCTTGCAAATGATGTAAAAACCCGGAGTAGACTTGAGCTGGATGGCTTAGCATGCGTGTCAGTGACATGGAGACCATGAACAAGTGTTCTTCATCTGCATCACAGGTTTGGAGAGAATGTATTGAACACAGGTTTTTTGTTTTTGTTTTTGTTTTTTAAGATTCGTTGTATTTGTTTGAAAGGCAGAGGGAGAGATAGATCTTCCATCTTCTGGTTCATTCCTCAAATGGCTGCAACAGTTGGATTTGGGCCAGGCCAAAGCTGGGAGCCAGAAGCTTCATCTGGGTCGCCCCCATGGGTGCTGGGACCCAAGAACTTGGGCCATCTTCCTCTGCTTGCTTAGGTACATTAGGAAGGAGCTGGATCAGAAGTAGAGCAGCTGGGAATTGAACTGGTGCCCATGTGGGATGCCAGCGTTGCAGGCAGTGGCTTAACCCACTACACCACAAAGCCAGCCCCAAACATGGGTGATTTTTAACTTAATCAAGAAAATGCTTGGCTTCTTAGGTTGCTTAGGGCAGCATGTTTGGGGGGAAAGAATGGGCCAAGCCAGGCCATCCCATGCTGTGCCTTTGACCCCCCTACTGTGTGTCTGTCCTGTGCCCTCTTTATGTGTGCCCAGCACCCCCAAGTCTCTCCTGCCATCTCCCCATTGAGGCCACTCCCACCTCCTATCCTTCTAAGTATCCAAACCAGCCATCATTGGCCCGAGAGTCTCACAGCCAGTAGCTTTACCCAGATCAGGGTTCCGGACCAAATGCTGTGCCTGCTCAAGTCCTGTGTGAGAAGCCACACCTTGCCTGCCACCTGGGTTTCTCCCTTGGACTAAGGAACTCCCTGAACACCTATCAGGCGAGATCTCTAGGAGGAGATGGCAGGGAGATTTGCCATCACTTCTCATGGGTTTGTAGTGAAGCAGCCTCTTACTAGTACCTAAAATACATAAAAGCAAAAAGGCTGGGAGGCACAGACAATGCAGCCTGTCGAATAGTGGTCATAGCATCCTTCGGCAGAGGGACCCAGGCCTGGGCGCCACACGTGGAGGCCAGCAGAGATTTGAGTCACCTCCTGGCTCAAGTCAGCCTTCCGCGTCCAGGCACTTGCTTGGGTTCCAGCAAGCTCTAGGATACTGGTTTGGGATGGCTCAAGTCAAACCCTGTGCAGACCATTTGGGAGTTGGGATGAGTCTGTGGGTCTTCTGAAGTGCAGAACACCGTGGACCCTCCAAGGAGAGAAGCACAAATGGCTCATCTCCTGGCTGCTTTATTTGGGAGGGCCTGGTGGGAGGCTGACCCAGTTCTTCAGCTGCACTGAGGTATATGCGTCTCGGTGCATCTCGGTAGACCTCCATCTGAAAGATGAGCATATTTGGTTTTTTCACACGTTGCCTCCACATTTTGACAACTCTAGGCATAATCAGATTGTCTGTTTTCTAAGTTTAGGGACAAGAATAGGACTTTTGATTCCTCTATCTTCAAGCTGCTTAGGAAGACTAGACCCTTAGAGCATTGCCTAGAAAAGTGATAGTTACAAAAGCAACAACAATATATCCATTTTACATCAGTACACACACACTCACACGAGGGGCCTCCAAAAAGTTGGTGGGAAGTGCATATTATGAAAAATCTTTGCATGACTTTCAACATTTTCAACCAAAATAAACAATTCCATTTTTATAACTTTTTAAAAAAGAGACTGTCTTATTTATTTGAAAGCGTTACAGAGAAGGAGAGACAGAGGCAGAGAGATGGAGAGAGATTTTCCATGCACTGGTTGATGCCCCCAAATGGCTGCAACAGTCAGGGCTGAGCCAGGCTGAAGGCAGGAGCCAGGAGCTTCATCCGGTCCCCCACATAGGTGCTGGGCCTAAGGAGTTGAGCCATCTGCTGCTGCTTTCCCAGGTGCATTAGCAGGGGGCTGGATCAGAAGTGGAGTAGCCAGGACTCAAACAGGCACCCATATGGGATGGCAGGGTTGCAGGTGGTGGCTTTACCTACTGCACCACAGTGCCCCTCTATGAACTTTTTGAAGGGCTTCATACCTAAATTTTGAGGACAGTACAGGAATTTACATCATGAAAAATGAATCCACCACCCACCTCAGACCCTCAAATCCCTTTCCCAGGTAGAAGTAACCATTATCAACTTTCTTGGGAATCCTTCCAGGAGAGCTCCATGCATGGGTGCGTGTTGGCACATATGCACATGCAGACTGGACTCACTGTCCGGCGCCTGCCTGTGTTCGCTGCTCTCCCTATGGCTGTCCATATCCACACGCTAGCTCCGTGCTGCCCTTTCACATAGCTGTGTGGTGCTCCCTCGTGATGGCTGCACCACCGTCTGTGAACCTGTCAGCCAAACCCATTGGATGCTCTCCAGTGTTTTCTTGTCCTAAACACTGTTGTGATGGACAACAAATAAGAAGTTTTAGGAACTGTGATTTTTATAAGACCAGGCTAACTAGACAATCAAGAAGAACACTTTGAAAAGCTTAAAGATATCATTGATAATATTGAACAGCATTAGAGATCTATAAA